AGTGTTCCTAAAACAATACCTTTTCTCGGGATCCATATATGTGTATGTGGGGCCAGTGTGGTGTTGTGGTTCGAGAACTGAACTAGGACTCAGGAGGTAAAGGTAAAGGTACCCCTGCCCGTACGGGCCAGTCTTGCCAGACTCTAGGGTTGTGCGCCCATCTCACTCAAGAGGCCGGGGGCCAGCGCTGTCCGGAGACACTTCCGGGTCACGTGGCCAGCGTGACGAAGCTACTCTGGCGAGCCAGAGCCGCACACGGAAACGCCGTTTACCTTCCCGCTAGTAAGCGGTCCCTATTTATCTACTTGCACCCGGGGGGTGCTTTCGAACTGCTAGGTTGGCAGGCGCTGGGACCGAGCAACGGGAGCGCACCCCGCCGCGGGGATTCGAACCGCCGACCTTTCGATCGGCAAGCCCTAGGCGCTGAGGCTTTAACCCACAGCGCCACCCGCGTCTCAGGACTCAGGAGAGCAGGGTTCAAATTCCCACTCAGCCATGAAACTCACTGGGTGACACTGGGCCAGTCACAATCTCTCAGCCTAACCTACCTCACAGGGTTGTTGTGAAGATAACATAGGGAAGAACAATGTGCACCATCTTGAGCTCCTTGGAGGAAAGGCGGGATAGAAATGTCATCGTTAACTAAATAACTATGTACACAATCTGCCAGCATCTGACAAAATCCATGAAAGCTTATGCCACCATTAGATTGGTCACACCAGTTAGCCTCCACAGTTGCTGTGGAATTAACTAGAAGAGGGTTTTTTAATTGCTACTTTAAATATGTCCTTACTGCTATTGACCAAAAGATTCCATAATGTGTACAAAAGTGTGAATAAAAGTGTTTTAAAGCCCAGTCCTGTGCATGTTTAAAGGTAAAGGTACCCCTGCCCGTACGGGCCAGTCTTGCCAGACTCTGGGGTTGTGCGCCCATCTCACTCAAGAGGCCGGGGGCCAGCGCTGTCCGAAGACACTTCCGGGTCACGTGACCAGCGTGACATCGCTGCTCTGGCGAGCCAGAGCCGCACACAGAAACACCGTTTACCTTCCCGTTAGAAAGCGGTCCCTATTTATCTACTTGCACCCAGGGGTGCTTTCAAACTGCTAGGTTGGCAGGCGCTGGGACCGAACGACGGGAGCGCACCCTGCCGCGGGGATTCGAACCGCCGACCTTTCGATCGGCAAGCCCTAGGCGCTGAGGCTTTTACCCACAGCGCCACCCGCGTCCCTTGTGCATGTTTACTCAGAAGGAAATTCCACAGAATTCAGTGGGACTTGCAAAAGTACACAGGAGGATCAAAGTCTTAGGTGACAGCCACACCATGCACTAAAAGTGCATTGAAAGCACATGGCTTCCCCCAAAGAATGCTGGGAACTGTAATAATAATAATAATAAATTTTATTTATATCCCGCCCTCCCCAGCCGAAGCCGGGCTCAGAGCCGCTAACATCAAATGTATAACACATTAACATAAAATCAGACAATCAATTAAAATACATCTTCAAATCAGATCAGGATCAGAATAAAATCCAATCAGATGGCAACCCGCAGATTAGGGTTGGGTAGTTTTCGCCCTCACAGAGCCACAATACCTACGCCCTGTGGGCGTAGCCAGGGGGGGGCAGGGGGCAGCTGCCCTCCCAGGTCAAGTAAAACAACAGAAATACTTAACTAACTGACCGATGACATCAGTTTTGCCCCTCCAAAAAAGTCCTCCCCCCCAACAAAAATCCTGGCTACACCCATGCTACCCCCCCCCACCAACAAACTACTGCTCCCAGGATTCTAGGAATTGCAGTTTGCCCCTCACAGAGCTACAGTACCCAGGACCCTTAACAAATCACAATTCCAAAGGTTCTTTGTAGGAAGTCATTTGCTTTAAATGTGTGGCATGGATGTGACCTTAGTTTCCAAAGCTATCAGCTGTGCACCTTTCCTGAGCGAGGATATGCTCTGGTTGTAAAAACAAAACTCTTAGCTGAAGTCAGGTCCCATTGTTTGAAAAGCTTTTTACTTTTTTTTTTTAGTTGAAGTGAAACTGCACCTGTAATTTTTAGATGCTGGGAGCCAGATAACGCCTGAGAAAGAAACCTGTGGGAGCAGGGTTGTTTGTTTCTAATAAATTAATTGCTCAGATTAAAGATCATTGAGACACTGCACAATTCCCACAGAGGTGAAGAAGTCATTCTAGGCAATCGTTGTCAGAAACATATAACTAAGGCAGAAAGCAGGAGTCCGTCAGGAAAATGAAGAGTGATTATTTCAAGAGGTACGTGAATGAAGACTCAAGCAGCCACTCTCAGGCAGCTGGCCAGAAGTCACGGAGTGCTGCAGGAAGCTGGGTTGTGCCAATGGTGGCAAGAAAGGCTCAATGCTGCAGAAGTGGCTAAATCAGAAATGGCCAATATGGAGTTCTCGGACTACAATTCCCACCATCCCTGACTGACGACTGGGCTGACTGGGGCTGATGGGAGTTGGAGTCCAGCAACATCTGGAGGGCTATACCTGGGGCAAATGTATAGCAGGGCCAGCAGGGCCTGGCATCCTTGAGCACTGATGATACCTACCCCGGGGACCAACTTTTAGTCGTTGTTTTTTTCTGGCTGGCACTCTAAGCCGCTCCAAGTGGCTGGGTCTAGACACCCTTTTAAATTAACAGGGCAGCTCAACCCAGCCACCCTACAGGCCTCTTGAGTGTTGCCAGCCACAGTCAGATAAGCCTACCGTGGCCCAGATGACAGATCAGTAGGGACAACAGAGGAGACTCTGTCCAATCTGGAGCTGGCTCTGCTTCTAGGGAATTTTTTTTGCCTTACTGCTATGTTTAGTTCCAAACGACACTATTAATATGATATGGGCCATTGGGCTGATCCAGCAGGCTCCACTTATGTTCCTATGGCTACCTCCCTCTTGCAAGGGATGTAGATCAGGCATTGTCGCTGGTCATCTGGATGGGATCCCCTTGCTGGGTACATTTGCAGTATAAACAGGTGGGCAACCCAGAGCTGGAATGAATGGACTGGATAGCTCAGTTGGTTAGAGCATGGTGCAAACAATGTCACGGTTGAAGGTTCGATCCCCATTTGAGACAGCTGCATATTCCTGCATTGCAGAGGGGGTTGGACTAGATGATACTTAGGGTCCCTTCCAACTCTGCAATTCTATGATTCTATGTATTGCCTGGTATGGATTAGCTGCGTCTTGCATGGGTTCCATGCTAATAAGCCCTGAGCTTGGAGGAAGAGGATGTGCTAAGAGGCAGCATGCACAGATCAAATTTTGTTGCAATATCCTTAGTGAAAGCTACCACAACCATTGTTCTGAAGAAGGGTGAGGGGGAGAATTAGCTTTCTCAAGGAGCACTACGGGATGGGTGTGTTCATCTCTCACTTTCCTAATCCTTGCCTGCCAAGTTCATTGCAATGACTGCATTTGCTGCACCAGTGATTGTGTCACTGCTAATGTCAACACACAGGAATAAGTCACTTACAGCCTGTGCACTCAGAGGTAATAGAGTTCAGTGGGACTTATTCCCAGATATGTACAGTATAATATTAAAGCTTCAGAGCTCTATTTTTAAATCCATTGTCTTTCGGTTACATGCTGCCTCTTCCACTAATGATGATGCTGGTTTTTGTGAATGCAGCTTGTCACAGGGCCCCCAGCAACAAATGCAAGAGGAAGAGACCACCTGGGTTTCCTCCAGGAAAATATGCCTGAAATGAGCCCAAGATTTCACCTCTTCCAGAAAGTCAGACCTGTTTGCTTGCCATGCTGCCTTTGCAGGATATAGGAGAGCTCACAGCTCCCCTTCGTTTGCTTTAGGTTGCTACGCTCTGCTTGTTGACCAAAGCCACCACTCCTGATCCTCTTTAGAAATCCCCGGCATAAATCAATAGCTGTTTCTGTTTGGGCCAAGAGGGCGGAGGGGTTCTGAAATGCAATCATCTCACTTGCCTCCCCGTCTCACTACCTCTGGAAACACCCTTTTGAAAGACTGCTCAGCGTTGGTGAGAGAAAAAATCGTTTGCATCTGCCAGGACCTTGATTCCACTGTTATAGCAGATGAATCTCAAGGGGGTGTCCAGAGCACTGTGTGGTCCTGTTTTGTTGGATAATTTTCAGTTAGTAAGGCTCAGGGAGGTGGATTCTTGGCTGCTAAATTGAGCAGGGAGGGGATTGAAGCCTCCTTGCAAGAGGGGGTGGTCCCTGCTTGTACCTGGTTCTCCCTCTCCCTGTTTTATCCTCACAACAACCCTGTGAGGGAGGGAGGGCTAAGAGACCATGAGAGACGTTACCCAGTGAGCTTCATGGCTGAGTGCGAACCAGATGCTCATGGGAAGCCTGTAAACAGAATCTGACCACAACAGCACTGCTTTGGACAGTGGAGGTAGAAGCCACAGTGGCAAAACTGTTTCACCTGTTTGTTTGTTTGTTTGTTTGTTTGTTTGTTTGTTTGTTTGTTTGTTTGTTTGTCTGTTGTGCGAGACGGCGCTTCACCCCACCTTACCCCCATGTGTCAGTCAGTCCAGCAGTTTGCCACAAACAGCACCTTCATTAAGTGCTAGGAAAGGGAGGAAAGGCGGCTGGGAGTTGGGAGTTTGCTCAAGCACCTATAAGGCAGCATCAGGTTACCGGGAAAGTGGGTGGGCCCATGCAAATCACAGCTGCTCTGGGTGGCTTAAAGAATTAAAAAAAACCCATTACAGGTCTCGGGAGTTAAATGCAAAGTGAAAAGGTGGAGTACTCGGCCCGGATGCAACTCTCTTTTGCTCCAGACCCAAGACACCTGAAGGGATGCAGTCCCAGAAAATGAGATACTACCACTGCGCGTGGGAACAGAGTGACTGACCCACGTTTGGCTCTCACTTCTTCCTGCTTGGCAGTTGTGGTGGTGTTTTTAAGCCCAGAAGAACTAAATATCGAATCGCAACATTTTTTGTTTCAAAAGAGGGACGCCAAGTGTCCCCTTTCTCGCTCCTCCAGCGATGCCCCCCAGGAGATACTGGATTACTCGCCCACCTTGAGAAGATGCAGCACCCCCAGCAGAGGCAGCGGCTCCGAGCTGGGCATCAAGTGTGTCCTCATAGGAGATGGGGCAGTCGGCAAGACCAGCCTCATTGTCAGCTACACAACCAACGGATACCCAGACCAGTACCAGCCCACGGCGCTGGACACCTTCTCAGGTAAGCAGAGCGGAACCTGGGCAGCTCCTTCCTTCCTGATATGTACTGGGGTACATTTTGCCACAATGGGGTACACTGTGGTCTGTTGTCATTTTGGCGCTTTGCGTTCTTGACTAATTGCCATAAGACCTTTCGCAGTGACAAGTGGGATACAAAGCTCATACGGTAATTAATAGATCAATGGCATGTGTGACAATTGAGATATATTGAGATGTATATTATTGAGATATATATCGAGATACATATTATTAAACTGCTGGCTTAAATGACTGTGTTTTATTAGAATAGGATGTTGTAATTTAATATTGTTTGCAATGTAAGAAGTCTGAGTGGGGATTAAAATATATATATACATACATATTAAGAAGCAATTAAGTAAGCATGCAAAGGATTGCTCCCCCCCCCCCCCCGTGCCTTTAACAGTAGCATGGGAGGCAGAAATTCACTAAGTGAAGCTATCTCCAGCAGGCAGATGCAGAGACAGGGAAAACTTTGCCTATTGACTATCTCCTTTCAAATGAGAGTTTTGCCAGAAGAAAATGAGGGGGAGGCCTACATGTGTTCTCTGTTCCAAGCAAAGACTTTTGGATCTTCTCTTCTTGGGTGTAATTGGAGTTGTAGTGGAGGGGCTGCAGCTGCAAACAACCAGCCTTCTGAGACCAGTATCATGTCATGTCATCAAGCCGGTTGCAGCAATCGGATGGTGTTCATCTGTAAAGGAAATAGATTGGGAAGCAATTTAACCTGATCCCTTACAAAACTTCATTGGCACCACAAACCCAATGCATGTCTGCTCTGAGAAGTTAAATGGCACTTCCTCCCAGAGAAGCTGCTTTCCTATAAATGCTTAGTGCAGTGGCCTTCATTGCCTGTTGCTTTGTGCCACAGTTAAACTTAGCTATGTGCTGGTGCAGGCCGAGGTGGGGGGAAAGGGAAGGAATTACAGTGGTACCTCAGGTTAAGAACTTAATTCATTCTGGAGGTCCGTTCTTAACCTGAAACTGTTCTTAACCTGAGGTACCACTTTCGGTACCACGCAGGTGGCGCTGTGGGTTAAACCACAGAGCCTAGGGCTTGCCAATCAGAAGGTCGGCGGATTGAATCCCTGCGACAGGGTGAGCTCCCGTTGCTCTGTCCCTGCTCCTGCCAACCTAGCAGTTTGAAAGCACGTCAATGTGCAAGTCGATAAATAGGTACCGCTCTGGCAGGAAGGTAAATGGCGTTTCCGTGCGCTGCTCTGGTTCGCCAGAAGCGGCTTAGTCATGCTGGTCACATGACCTGGAAGCTGTACGCCGGCTCCCTCGGCCAATAAAGCGAGATGAGCACCGCAACCCCAGAGTTGTCCGTGACTGGACCTAATAGTCAGGGGTCCCTTTACCTTTACCACTTTAGCTAATGGGGCATCCCGCTGCTGCCGCCCCCCCCCAATTTCTGTTCTTATCCTGAAGCAAATTTCTTAACCCAAGGTACTATTTCTGGGTTAGCGGAGTCCGTAACCTGAAGCGTCTGTAACCACTGTACAACCACTTCATTCATCAAAATTTGATGGGATTGTGGTTTGTGTCTCTACAGATAAACCATGAACTGTCACCAAAGTTTGTTCATGGTTTGGGAGAGAAAAACTCGAGCCCTGGTTTGGTTGTAAAGCTAAGCCAAACCATGGCTTAGCTCCTGGTAGCAGGGCAGCAAGGAAAGCTTTAACTTTAAACTATAATTAAGCTTCTGTGTGATTTAAAGTGATGTGTGAATGAGGCCATTATTTAAAGCACCAGTAGCCATATGTATCTTACATAGTCCCACCAATATTGAATCAGTGTCAATATCTTTAAGAGGTTTTGAAAGAAAATTAAAAAGCTGTCAAGTGGACACATCTTGAACCCTTAAAAAAAAAATACAAAGGAAACAGGTTTGGTCTTCTACCCGAAACATGGGTGGCAGCACTCTCGCTTAGCTAACTGTGGAAGACTGTTCAACTGGTTTTGGGTGTTTCTAATTGGGAGAGCAAACCTCAAGAGATTGTGTTTCCAGTTCAAGCATAGGAAAAGAGGAGAGAGCAGTTGTGACATTTGAAGCTGTGTTAGTAATTCATTTATTAGGATGAAACTCCCCATAGCACGTGGGGCTGGATTGCCTTAAGCTCTGTACAGACAGGAGGTTTCCCACACTGCAGCTCATGTGATAGGGCACTGAACTGGAAATGCAGGAAGGATCATATGGAAGGTAGAAAAAAAAGTAGACATTTGGAGGGATTGTTTGCCAACTGGAAATGCAGGAAGGATCATATGGAAGGTAGAAAAAAAAGTAGACATTTGGAGGGATTGTTTGCCAACTGACAGAACATGCTCTGAGTTCTGTACTTCTTAGGGAATAAGATCAGGCATGATTTTACTATGGTGGCATACATTTCCACCTGAACAGTAAAGTGGTTAGAGTGTCGGACTCCTGGGAGACTAGGCTTCAAATCCCCACCCAGCATGAAGCTCACTCTAGGCCAGACACTGTCTTTCTCAGCCCAAGCTACCTCACAGGGTTGTTGTGGTGATTAAATGAGGCAGAGGAACCATGTACACCA